CTCGTTATTCACTCAGGTCTGTGGACAATCTATTACTGTGGTATTACTCTACGTTGATGACATGATCATTGCAGGAAATGATGAGGAAGCCATTAGTCGACTCAAGAAGTTTCTTAGTGGTTGTTTCCGAATTAAAGATCTCGGACCATTAAAATATTTTCTTGGTGTCGAAGTTGCTCGGTCCAAGGCTGGGATCTCCATTTGCCAACGTAAATATACCTTGGATATATTGGAGGAAGCTGGTTTGCTTGGAGTAAGACCTGCCAAGGTACCCATGGAACCTGATTTAGTGTTGACAACAACGGGTAGTGATGCTCTCAAGGACCCGACTCGATATCGACGTTTGGTTGGTAAACTAATCTATCTCACCATTACAAGGCCAGACGTTACGTATGCAGTAAATAATCTCAGTCAGTTCATGTAAGAACCCAAACTTCACCATCTTAAGGCAGCACATCGCATTCTCCAATATCTGAAAGAAGCACCCGGACAAGGCTTAATGTTCTCTTCCCAAAGTGAATTACATTTAATCGGTTACTGTGATGCAGATTGGGCACGTTGCCCCATTACCCGTCGATCAGTGACGGGTTATTGTATCTTCCTTGGAAAGTCACTTGTGTCCTGGAAAAGCAAGAAACAAGTTACAATAGCTCGTTCCTCTGTTGAAGCGGAGTATCGATCCATGGCTGCAGCTACTTGTGAATTAAGTTGGCTGCGATATTTGTTGAAAGATTTACGTGTTGAGCATTCTCAACCGGCAAAGTTATTTTGTGACAACCAAGCGGTTTTACACATAGCTGCAAATCCTGTGTATCATGAATGCACAAAGCATATTGAGATTGATTGCCACACTGTTCGTGAGAGGGTTGAAAGGGGAGAAATTAAAACTTCCTATGTCGGAACGGGAGAACAAGTCGCAGACTTGTTTACTAAGCCACTGCGTGCGCCTATTTTTCAAACGCATCTAGGCAAGTTAGGCGTCATTGACATTCACGCTCCGACTTGAGGGGGAGTGTTAAAGATGCTCCACATGCAGTGCACTGTGCTTTACAGATTCCACTGTGCTTTACAGATTGGAATATGGTTCCCACGTTAAGGATGTATGATTATTCTAAACAACAAGGACACATGCATAGTGGACAGCAAGGCCACTGCATGTGTATACTGACTGATGTTTCATAGACAGCAAGGATGCCACTTCCAGTTGTTTTGTTTATTTGCATGCGTGTGTAGTAAACTGTGTATAAAACTCTGCTGCAATTGCAGCAGATCATCATTCAAAATATAGATTGGATCCAAGTTTAATAGTAGTCTCTCACCTTATGGCTTGCAGAGAGTTCGTGAAGAGGTGCAGAGGAGAAAAATGCAGTGCGGTAATTGCCGCGAAAGAAAAGATGACAGATTTAGGTTTGTGAACATAGCAGGACATGAGCAATTTCATGCATCTCTAGGAGCAGCTAAGTAGACAACAATTGTAACCGGTGTCCTTACTCAATACGTGACACAGCCTAAATTGTTACCAGTCTCTGTCAATGAAGAACCAATTCAAATCGTTGACACTGCCGGTAAACCATGATTCTCGACAGTGTAGCAGTAAGTTTCTTCATCCATAACCTTATGCTGGAATGTAATGTAGAAATCTATTTGCATAGGGTATGCGGAATTGCATCATGTTGTTATGCTGCTGAAAAAAGTGCATATCTCTATGTCAAGTCGTGTTTTCCAGTTTTTTCTTTCTCTACAGACTGAAAATATGATCAGTTTCCAACTTGGGTGCATCGGCGAATAATAACGACTAAGTTTTAACCAATTGTTTCGATAGTGAGCTGAGGACGTCTTGTTTAACAAATATCTAATTGTAGTCTCTCACCTTATGTCTTGCAGAGAGTTCGTGAAGAGGTGCAGAGGAGAAAAATGCAGTGCGCTAATTGCAGCGAAAGAAAAGATGACAGGTTTAAGTTTGTGAACATAGCAGGACATGAGCAATTTCATGGATCTCTAGGAGCAGCTAAGCAGACAACAAAGTGCCTTGCTCAGGAACCTCAATGGGATCTGCCAAGTTCTCCCCCCAAGTCAATGGAACAGGGTGTCCTCCCTCAATACGCGGCACAGCCTAAATTGTTACCGGTCTCTGTCAATGAAGAACCAATTCAAATCATTGACACTGCCGGTAAACCATGATTCTCGACAGTGTAGCAGTAAGTTTCTTCATCCATAACCTTATGCTGGAATGTAATGTAGAAATCTATTTGCATAGGGTAGGCGGAATTGCATCATGTCGAACCCAGATGCGTGTATCTTTACTCTTTAGATCGATGTAGAACCCCAATGCAAAAATGGAAAAAAGAAAAAAAAGGGAAAAGAAGAAGTTGCTTTGTCTAAGAGAATTTTACTTCTAGTAGCAAGTAGTAATGAATTTGGTGGTTTTCTTTTCAAATATCGAATCCCCTTAGAGTAAGTATCAACATGCTACCATTTCGATTGAGACCTGGCTGAAGGTGCAAATGACCTTTTATTACAACGGTGGAAATGAGTTCAGTCTTTGCATGATGTTGTGAGTTCGAATTCATTGATAGCTAATCTAACAAAATTTATCGATGGACCAAAAAAAAAAAAAACCTGGCGGAAGTTGTAAATTGGGCGGGGCCATTAAGCTGTAGTCAGTTTGGGGTTTGGTACATCATACATTGCCGGTACAATCCCATTACTGTTTAATCATGGCGGATGGTTTCATTTGATTTATTTACTTCAACAGTCAAAAATAAAAAAGTGTGCGAGAAGCTACAAATAGTGAAAATCACATATAACTGGTGACGAACATTCACTTTTGCATATGAAGTTATCGGCCATGCATTCGACGTCTGCGGGTATGCTGTCTCCGTTTTTGTCTCTCCTCCTTTAATTTTTTGATAGGTGTCCATCCACTTAAATCAAAACTTAACACAACGGAAAAGATGCATAAACCAAATGTTTAAAACAAAAGAAATATGCTTTTTTCAGTTTACCTAAACTAATGGGGAATCAATATAAAGAATAGAGTTTTAACGAAAAACCCGCAGTATTGTTTACTTTAATGAAAAATTATATTTTTACACTAAAAAGTCAAGCTTAGTATTATTCACTTTACCCTTTATTTTGTCGTTATCGTTAAAACTCAAAGTTTTCAAACCCTTTTCATTAATTTTTCTTATAAAGAAAATATGATCCCAGACTCAACGGCCTCTATTTATCTCACTTACTAAGACTTAATTACTGTAGTGCCCTGTGAAATGTTTTTGGGTCCACCATCCCTTGAAAGTTATTTTGTTCAACTTTGCCCTCTCTAAATAATTTTTTGGTCTCCAACCTTATCTGCTGCTGTTAAAAAGTCGTTAACTAATCCAATAAATGTGTTAATGTGACCAGAATTTTGTAACTGATATTGCATGAGTGCATTGAATGTTGAAGCTAATCTTGTAGAGGCGCATGAACTCTGAAACTGATTTTTTAAAATTGCAGAATTAATTTTTACAAATTTAAAATCAGTTGAAATTTTTTTACATAGTGAGATTTTCGAATTTTAATTTTCTTGTTTTTGGAGGAGGATTCTCTCTTCTTCTATCCCTCCTACTTGAACAGTTGCGGTTAAGCTACGTCAGTATCTTATATTGATTTTTGTTTATAAAGACAATAAGACAAAAAATAAATAAATAAATAAAGTGTGAGAGGAGAGGGTTCGATTCTCATTGGCTCCCTAATAATAACACCTTTTTTTTTTTTTTTTTTTTTTAACAAACTATATTATCTACACTAAGTGGAAAGGGTAGACTTAGCCTCACAATGAGCTAGCAATAATGTGGTTCAAACTCGCATTTGGTGAGAATTAAACCTAAGACCTCTCATTTACAAGTGAAGAGAAATACCACTAGACCGTAATACTAAGTGACACTTAACCTAACATTTCTATCGTTTAACCAAAAAAAATGCCACTTAGTACTACGGTCTAGTGGTATTCCTCTTCACTTGTACCTGAAAGGTCTTAGGTTCGATTCTCTCCAAAGGCCAATTTAAACCACATTATTATTAACCAATTGTGAAACTAAGCCCAATCTCTTCCCCTTACTGTAAATAATATCATTTGTTAAAAAAAAAAAAGAGGAAGAAAAGGAATGAGAATAAAAAAAAAAAAAAAGTAGGAAAAGGAATGAGAATAATAAAAAAAATAAAAAGAAGGAAAATGAATGAGAATAAGAAGTGAGAGAATCTTTAATACTTTTTTTTTGATACGTTCGGGCCCCATAGATTCCCTGATAATTGGAGTAAGGTCTGGTTTGATACTAAAATGATTATGAAAAAAGCTAGAATAAAAAAAAGCTGGAAAAGGAATGAGAATAAAAAAAAAAAAAAGTAGGAAAAGGAATGAGAATAATAAAAAAAATAAAAAGAAGGAAAATGAATGAGGATAAGAAGTGAGAGAATCTTTACTACTTTTTTTTTTGATACGTCTGTGCCCACAGATTCCCTGATAATTGGAGTACGGTCTGGTTTGGTACTGAAGTGATTCTGAAAAAAGCTAGTATAAAAAAAAAGTTGGGTGCTATTTTTGTGTTTGGTAAACATTTAGCTTCAGTTTTTTTCATAGTTTTGGATGAAAAAAAGCCAAAAACAAGAAGTTCTAAAACCCAACTTTGAAAAACAGGTTTTTTTTTACATCTGTTTTACATCAAAATTTACCAAATACTATAATAGTGTTTTGTTTTTTCAAAAGCACTTTTACAAAAAAATTTATCAAACACTCTACTACTTTATTTCATAACTGTTTATTTTCATAGCATAGCAGAAAGTAGATTTTTTTCAAAGTACCAATACTAAACCAGCCGTTAGTCGGATAATTTTCCTTTTGGTTCAGGGAAGTCCAAGACAGCTGTCCCCCAATACCAAAAAAGAAAAAAAAAAAAAAAACAAAAAGACGTGTATCCTTGTCAACCATTCGCCAACCACCACCCGACCCCCACCACCACCACCTCCATCTGATATTTTGGGAAATCCCCGGATTAGCCATATCCGCTTTTCTAATTCTCCAATTCTGCTCCCCGCTCCGCCTCCCCAATCTAGGGTTTCTGATCTGATTCCATGCCCACCGGCTGGTCTCAGAAACCCTAATCCTCGGATTTTCGCGTTAGGGTTTTATATCATCAGTCTCCAATCGTCGGCATCGTGACGGATTATAGTCAAACCCTAGCTGTTTCAGCAGCGGCGATGAAGCACACGAAGAGGATAAGGAAGAGGAAGAGCTCGGCGAATCCGACGCGGATCGCCAAGGAAGACGAAGAACAGAAGGTAATCCGCGCGCTTACGGAGGTTTTCTCGTCGGTATCGCTTGACGATGCCATTTATGCGTATCGCGAAGCCGATGGCGACGCGAACAAGGCCGCGGAGATTTTGGAACGGGCGGTGGCTGGAACTGAAAGTTCTGAAGAGCCGTTCACGAGCTCTACAACGGGTGGTGGATCGGACGCGGGCTCGAGCTCGGGTTCGGGTTCGTCGGAAGGGTTTGAGTCGGGTTGTATTCAGAATTTGGTGAGCGAGAAGGGTTTTAGGGGTAAGCAGAAGAGGGTTGTGGCGGCCGCCGGAACGGTATCGACGGTTTTGGGTAAAGAGTACGTGAGCTCGATTCCCAGGAGGGGTCCAACGTTGTCAGAGATGTCGAAGCGGAAGGGTTTTGGTAATGGAGGTGCTGCAGGGGAAGAGGAAGCTGAGCAGTTTCTTTGTTCTATGCTTGGAGATGAGTCTGATCTGAGCTTGGCGGTTGTTAGAGACGTCCTTTGTAAGTATACTCTGTTTGTTTTCATGTTTATGGTAACGCAAGCGATGAATTAAGGATGAAATGCCTTTTAGTCGTGGAAGTAGGGGTTCTTGTATAACCTGAAATTTTGTTTTTGCAGGTCAGTGTGAGTATGATGTTGAAAAGGTATTAGGAGCATTGCGAGTTAGAAAAGTTTTCATCTTTTCTGTTCTCTTCTAAGTGCTGCCTTATGCCAAGGAAGATGAGTTAGTTGTGGCTAGCTTGTATAGAGTTTCTATTATGTTTCCGTCAGTGCTCAAGATGATTGCAGAACAGTCATCAGGTGTCACGGGCATGTTAGAAACTTGGTCCGAGCTAAAAGAGAACCCATAATTGAACCTATAGGTTGTTGCTGTTGTAATCTGATGATTATTTATATGCTTCTTCAGGCCTTGGATGCATTGCTTGAGGTTTCTTCTTCGTACGAACAGTCCTGTAGTAGGTCTGACTATAGTATGTTTTTTAAGGAAGATAGTAGACATCCCTTCGAACAGTCTGATGCTGTAAGTATACTTTTTGTGTTCTTAAATGTGTGACGATACTTGGTAAACATAATAGCGAAGGTTGTGCTCTTAGTTGTTTTCAGTGTGTGGAACATTATTTGATAGCTCACATGCATGGTTAACCTCACATGTTTATGGTGGCATTCTCTGATTTGTTGTTACAGTGTGAGTTTGTAGGTTTGTGCTTTGATGCAGGACAACCTCAATTTTGGGAGGATGTCAGTCTAGTTTGAGTCTTGTTGAATTTATGAGTTGTAAAAAGAAGGCACAGCAGATATTTGAAAGAAAGATAAAGGAAGATTATAAGGATAGAAACTACTAAGTCAGTAGTACTGACTTCGCACCTGTAGGGTTTCTAGGATCACTCCTAGAGGCCGTAGGTAGCACACCTAGGGTTAGGTTGCATCATACAAACCTAGAGAGAAGCAAAGCTCCAGCAATTCTATTAGATCTTTAACTCTTTCCCCAGAGAGTTGGATGTAATTTATAAAGACGTAAACCTAAAATCCTTAAAGAAGAAGGAAATAATCCTTGTAGAACAAGGAAAGTAAAAGGCCAATAAGCCAGATGGAACTGGCATCCTGTATTTTAAAACCCTAGACAGTAAAAGACTAAAACTCCCTTTGCCACATGACAGACTTTAGGGTGGCCTTCACTTTTGTTCTTCATTGCTTATGGTAGTTGTGTTTTATTGATACCATATTTTGTTTCATATACAGGAGCATCTCTAGATGCTTTCTTGTACTTGTTTATTTTTTTGCTAAGAATCTGTTCTTATCAGTCCCTCGCCAGAAGTTACTAGACTGTGGCCTGTGGAAGAACAAATACTCCTCTGGATGTTCTGCTCTGCTTGGCCTCGCTTCTTTGCAAGTGGGGGATTGAGTTTCTGGAGGCTGGGATTGTTTCAACTCATTTCAAGTATACATGACTAGTGCAATGTCACTTTGAATTTTAAACTATCAGATCATATCTGGCTTTTTCGGTGTATATTGTATTTTGAAATTACAGCAAGCAACACCACCTCCTCTCTCCTGTTTCTCAAACACACACATACACATGCATACACAAAACGTACATACAGACTGACAAAAAGAAAGTTAGGTATGGGGTTTGACAGATCAGGATGGGTCTCTTGGTTTAGGTTTGACTCTTTTAAATCAGTCGTGCTACCCTGGATTCATTACACTTTTAAAACAGTTGAAGAGGACTTAGTTATTACCACTTTTCTTTTTTGATAGGACGTAGACGTTACCCTGGTTTTCCAGAGGGTTGTCTTATTGAAATTGAGATGTGTTTCTGTTGTTGTCCGTAAGAGATTAGTAAAGTGGCTTGATGCGTTGGCTTATCAAGGATAGTCACTGACAGTGTAGTTCATGTTATTTTTTATGAATTGTTATTTGTACATATTTTGGCCCCTAAAACGTTTGTGTCTACTTGTTAAAATTTCTTTTCTTCATTGCATATGTATTAATGGCATAATTTTGTGACAGTTGACAGATAGGGCATCTGAGTGCACTTCTCATTCATCTGAATATGAGCAGGATAATATATGGTATGCTGGATACACTTGCAGGCAAATTATTCTAATTGACTTGTCTTTTTACCTCTATTTTTTCTTTATGAATGCTTAAACCTTACACTGTAATTTATATCCCTAGCTATTGTTTATTCTATTTTAAAGGAAAGATGTAAGCTTTGAGTATACTTAAAGCTTATCAAAATGTAGTACTTTCATGGAGTTCTATGGTCATGTTGTAGTGTGTGGCCATATAGGATTTTGATGTTTAGGAACAAATGTTTAATATGTTAACCGGCCGTCTTGTATCAGGATGTGCACTGTAATATTATGTTCAAACATTAAGAGCCATGCATTTAGTTAGCATATGATGTTAGCTTATCATGAGAACCCTTGGACAAGAGGATTATGTTATTGGAGAATTCACTCATTTTGGTTCCTTTGACATATTTCCCGGAGACACAGTTGATATTGTCCAAAACTAGATGTCCAATTGTTTTTAATCTGGATGGTCATAATTTGTTCTTCGGTCAATCCATTTTGTTTGTGCTAATTATGTCAGTAAGTATTTCATTCGCCTATTTAAATGCTATTATGCAGCTTAGCCAAATATGGCACAATATAGACTTAGTCCCTTTTGTAGGCCAGAATTTTCAGCTCAATTTCTTTGGTTCCTTGCTTTGTGGATGTTAAAAATTTAGAACCTGATGGTGTTTTCTTTGTTTTAGGAATTATGGGAAGGTACTCACTAATTCTGAAGCTCATTCTCCTGTTAGCCCCAAAAGTACCCCGGCAGATCTCCCTCAAAAGGTGTTGGAATCTTTGTTTAACATCTCCAAGAGTCCTGAATATGAACCAAAAACCATGAATTGGAAGAATGTTGCAACTAAATTGCAGTCATTGGCACCTGGGTATAATGTTTGCACTTCTGGCGCAGCAGAAGCACAGCAGGACACTTATGGTACCAAACTTTCGATCTCCTCACGCTTCTTTGCAGTTGCATCTTGTCCTGTGCTAGGGGTTAATTTCATTTTATATTAATGGTTTATTTATTTTCAGAATGAATGTTTTGATTTATTTATTGAATGTATCCTATTGTTTTCTTGGAATGAACTGTTATCTATACCAAAAGTATTTAAAGTTCTCTATCTACCCAGCTATAGCAATGTCTTTATCTTTGTTGTCCTCTATTTTTTTGTCTTAAATGTAGTTAAAGGAGATGAATATCATGCATTCAGAGGAACTGCAAAGGAGCACTGGGATTCAATGAGGTCCTATTATCAGAAAGTAAGGGTTTTAACACCTTACTTTCAGTGGTTATTTTAGAAACTTACTGATGATGGAACATTTTTCTGCAGGCTGCAACGGCATATTCAAGAGGAGCACGGGAACATGCAGGTTACCTCGCTGAGCAGGTTTGGGCTTCTCTAAGAGCATAACATTGTTTTGTTGTTTGGGAAGTGTGCTTTCTATGTATTGAAAAATATGATGTGCTTTGAGGCATGCATGTCAGCTTTTGCTATTGATGGTGTAGTGTCTGGCCAGTGTGTTTTCTAGATTTGTGGATTTACCATCCAACAAAGCAGCATTGGTTTCCCTCTATCAATTTCCTTATCAACTCAATGGTGTAGGATAAAACAATATCCTAGGTTGATGCCCCTTTGAGTATTAGTTTAAGGTTCTATTTCCAAGAGGGCTAAGCCTCACGGACAAGTGTTTTGTAATGTATGTAGTTATATTTTATAGAAAAGGAGTTGAATTCAAGTTGAGGTATAAATGTTACCTCTTATCTTTTGATTTGCTAGGGGAGGATACAAACTAAATTGGCACAAGTGGCTGATGAAAGGGCAAGCCAGGAAATCTTTAAAGCTAGGTTGGTGCAATGCTGGCTTGAAAATATTAGTTGTCTTATTCAACTCTCACATTTTGTGTTTGTAGACAAACTAAGCTAATGCTCTAATCTGCAGAAACAAGGGCATAGAAAATGTGATAACAATTGATTTGCATGGGCAACATGTCAAACAAGCCATGAAACTTTTAAAAATGCATCTACTGTTTGGGACGTATGCACAATGTAAGTGTTAGCAATTTTCTTTTTGCTTTCCCTTTGAACAAATTTATTCTGCAATTTTATCATGTGTGGTCTATTTACTTGCTTGCTCTGGTGCAGCGGTTCAATTCCTCAGGGTTATCACAGGGTACGGGTCACATGATTATGGAAAGTCAAAGCTGAAGCAATCGGTAGGGGTTTCAAATTCTTTTTGGCATGAATTTCTTGGGGAAATAGTGGGGTGCTTGGTAATGCATATTAAAATTTCATATTGGTGCCCGTCTTAATGTATGTGCAAATAAAATGTCTGTTACTTTATGATGGTGCCTTTTTGTATGTTGCTAGTGTAGTTTTTGGTGTTATTTCACTCGATTGCATGTTGATTAGGGATTCTTTTTGAAGTGGTTGAACGCTAACAACGGTTTTCTTTTTGGGAAGTTTGAGTTTTCATAACAATTATCCAGAGTTTGTTTTTTCTTTTCTTCCTGTATAGCATAATAAATGAAAGTAACGATCAATGAATTTTACCTTGCCATCTTTTTATGCAATCATTGTAAGTAGTGTCAGAACTATCAAAAGTATATCTTGGTTTCTTTAATTGGATTATTTGATCTCTCAACCTTGTAAACATAAGCTTCGTTCAATACTTTTCTTGCTGCTTGCATTGTACAGGTCATCGAACTTGTTGAGAATGAAGGTATTCAATGGAGTGAAGAGAATCGAGGAGCGGTATTAATCAAGCTAGGTTCACATAGAGAGTTCAGCTTTCTGGATGCGGAGAGTGATCCCGAGTAACCTCCTTTAGCATGGTTACCAGGCATGATCCCTTTTCAGAGTTACTGAATTAAATTACCTCAAAAACTAGTTTGTAAAACCCACCACAGGTTGTGTTTCTGGTCAATGTTGTTGTCAGTCAATAGGGAGGTAAAGTGTAGTTGCCTTAATGTTGTGTTGGAGGTCAGGTTAACAGATGTTCATATTTATCTCTTTTCTCTAGGTTGCTAAATTACTTAGACGCCTTCATTGAAGAAACTAGCTCAGCTCAAGTTGCTCGTTGTACTTACTGTGTGTAGGGCATGTATATAACTTGAGAAACTGTGTAAATTTAACCGAGTTGACAATGACCTGAAACTGAAACAGTTTGATCATAACATGCATCATCGTTTGATACTGTTTCTTGGTTCCTGTTTTGCATGCTCGTAAGTAATGTTTTTGCGCCTCTTCGAAGGAAGGCTTTGAGATTATAGCTGAAGAACAATTGGATTTGTGTTGAAAAACAGTTGGGTTGATTGAAGAACCACTCAAGGTTTTGTTTTCTCGTAGAGATTGAATATGACAAAGGTTCTGAGCTTGATGCCAGGAAATCTCAGATCTTTCCAAAGCTTATCTTGGTTTCTCTAATTTGTTTGATACACAATTATAAATAAATATTAAAAGGATAGCATCAAGGGACAAATGTTTTAACAAATATTTTTACATTTTCTTGCAGCCTTCCGGTTTTATAACATTCAACGTTCTAGATTAAGGGTGATGTGGGGAGGTTTGAACATTAAATGACTTGGATGATGATGTGGATTATAACTAATAAAGAACACACTAATTTAAAAAAAAAAAAAAATCTAATAGGATAAAATTGAAAAAAGCCAATAATCAGACTTTGAAACTAGCATAAAAAGTCAAAAAATAAGAAAAAAAAAAAACATGAAAATAACAATGCCTTGGATGAAGTCTCCTCTTTCATTTTATAAAAAATGAACCCTAATAAATAACAAAAAAGAAATGATTTAAAAAAAAAGGTGATACCATGGATAGAATTAATACTCAACGAAAATGAAACTGCTATAATAAAAGAAAAAAAAAATATGAAAGTGCTGACCAATAAAATCAAGTTGTTTGTTTGATTTGAAAAACTAAAAAAAGTAGAAAAATCATCAATGAACCTAAATCGACAAAACTAAAAAGATTTTGCAAAACCTAATTTAATCACCCTACATATATGAACAATAATATACGATTTAGGGTTTTGTACATTTTGCTTATGTAATGAAGATTCAAGAGACTAACAGTTTGATTCATTGTAGAAGACATCAAAATTTCATATCAATCCTATAAAAGTTGCAAACCTCATCGGCAAAGAGGGAGATGAAGGTTACAAAACTTCTAATCAATGGATTTCTACGTCCCTTCTTGTTTGCACACTTAAAACTAGTGTTTCTTCATTTTTAATTTTATTTTTAATTAGTGTCATATTTTATGCTTTTTGAATTTTATTTTTATGTTTAATATTAGTTAAAATCCACTTAAGCATCCATATCATTTAATGAATGAATATGGACCTTTGGATGTTTTGTAATCTAAAGATTTCAAAAAAATGTAAAAATATTTGTCAAAATATTTATCCTTATTTAAAACATATATATATTTATATGTTTCGTTCAATACTGTTGTTACTGTTGAATGTTGAAGATACCTTGGATGACGGGAGTTGGAGATCGGAGGTTTAGCTGCGGTAAAGTGGATGAGACGAAAAAAAATTGAGCGAACAACACATCGGAAAAAACAACACTACAGCTTTATTTATTTATTTTGGAAAACCCACTACAGCTTTATTTATTCATACACTGCATGCATAAGAAGCCAGACAAGAATCTAAAACAATGGCGCATAAGATCTCAAACACCACAGTAGGCTTTGATAGCATGCTTAGCTTTCTGTCCCTCCTCAGTTAGATAGAAACGAAGGAAATCAAAGTTATCAAACGGCTTATATCGTAAAGGGTGTTTGTCATCAACTAGCTCTTCAGGTACTTGCACGACACTATTTTTATATGAGAATAATGACACCGCATATCTTGTTTTCTTCTCTTTCAGGATGACTTGATGCTCACATGCGCATACCCTATCGTTACTCCATGCCTACCAAATGAAAGTAGGAAAAAAAAAAAAAAAAAGTGAGATAAGACAGTTAGTCAAGGCAATGTGCGTTTGCGCCTTGCACCCGAATCCTGTAAATTACAATAGTTTAGAACAATATAAGCAAGAATAATATGATATGTGAAAGTGACCCACCATGAGTATATCGGATGCCAATACCATAAAAGATGAAGGTGAAGAAGGTGCATAATCAATCCATTGGCCAGCCTTCGTTTTGATCTGCAAACCATTGACCTCACTTTGATGTTGTATGGTTATGAAACACTTGTCTGTGTGAGGAAACAGTCTCACATCATTCTCATTCGTCTGCCCCTGTATTTCATATCCAATGCATCTAAGCTGGTAAGTGGTTGATGCCTGCTGAGAGTCATAAAGCCTCCCCACCCCATAAACATCAAACACCATTCTTGTCACCATTTGATCCAATTCTACCATCATCTTTGAGAAGGAATGAACACTTTCACTAGTTCAAAGAACAAACAGTCGCTCAATGTTAGGCACTATCGATGTTGAAATTTATTTACCAGTTTCAAATAACATACGCTTATGTTGGCAAACTATGAATCCATATCATCTATCAGAGTGCAATCTTGTCTAAATGTATGGTCTATATTCAATATGCCAACATAGGTACTTGCTTGAAGATCCAAGTACTTCTTGAAAAAAAAAAAAAAAAAAAAATAGTTAGAAGTGGTTCTTAAAGAAGCATCGTCACGTACTTCTCGAGTAACAACTTCTAGAGCATAGAAGCACTTTAAACATTTTCTACCAGACAGTAAAAAACGCTTTTAATCATAAGAAACCAGTTTTAACCCTTCCACGAAAACTTACCCAGACAAATCCCTTCTTCATACAGTAAACGAAAAGAAAGTTTAGGAATGAGAAACAAAATACAGAAAATGTTCATTTCCTGCAGGCCACATGATACTCGTGAAGTTTTGAGCTCCTTCTGCAGTTTCTGGATTTTCAATGCCCGTGGAAAAATCGTGAGGAAAGAGAGGATTTCTGGCAAAATAGCCGTGGAGAGGCTTGTCACTGGTCTTCTGCATTTTAGTTTCTAAAGGAAGATCACAAAGATCTTTTAACGCAGAAAAAATGGAGTTTTGAGTTTCCAAAGTACCATTTTTGTAAGCAGCTTCAAAGCAGCCAAACTCTTCCAAGGCATGCTGGACTTGTTTGCATGCCAAGAGCCATGCATCTGTTCCAGGCTCCATGTTTTCATTGGACAAGTCTAGAAAAGGAACCACAAGAGGCTGACGATCTGATCCCATATTTCCCAATTGAACTTTCTTAATTATTAATTAAGCTAGTCTTCAGGCATTGCTTCACTGACAGATCGTAGCAATGAGATGAACATGGTATCATTGTAGATAAATTTATAGCCATTTATAAAAGATAACTTTAGACAAATTTATAGCCACATATAAAAAAAGTTTAGGTGGGTGCACGTATTGTGCTTCCAATTATTAGATGGTAATAATTGAAGGTCACATCACATATAGCACTAAGGTCATGAATTTAACAGTGGAAGGTTTTAAGTTTCGGTATCATGAATAGCATGTTTGATATTTAATTACAGTGTTCTAAAAGCTTTCGTTAAATGCCGCTTGAGCACTAGGCAGTTCGTTACTACTACAATTAGCTTCTAGGTGTTAGAAAATAAAAAAATGATGCTTAGACCTTTGTAAGAGTTGCTTAGACCTTTGTAACATCTATTTTGCATATTATTTTTCAATAAATCACTTGAGACTAGTTGGATATTTGGACTCTGCCAATTTTATTCCATATTTGAGTGCTAAATTTTGGTGTTATTATTATGTGAGTTTGTCAGTTTTAATTTGAGTGCAAATTTTTATATATAACTTGAAATTTTAAATTAGATAATAAGTTAAGTTCAAGTTGAAACTTGAAATAGAAAGCAACTAGGGAAGGTTTCGAGAGGGAGAGAGAGAATGAGTCGATAGGAAAGAGGGAAAAACTAAGGGCTCATTAGGAAGTGCTTTTAAAATGACTGAAAGCATTTTTGGTGACACATCCCGACCCAGAATGTCCACTAGGACTCTGAATCGAGCTGTGCTGGCCGAAACCTAGAAGGTGACGAAGCCATAAAGTGCAGTGATGTGGAAAATGTGAATAAATTTAAACCTAAAAGTGCCTAAATATAAGAGTGCGCTGTGAGCTGAAATGAACCTAATTCACACGTGGTGACAGAGCATAAGTACAATACAGTAAAATAGGATGAGAAATTATACCATTGAAGGCATTCGTCTGCACCAAGATTTGCCAATATTCCTCATCAACACAAAAACTCTGCTACTAGAACCTGGAGGGACGAAAAACAAAAGGGTGAGTGGGCACAAAAACAAAGGTTTATGAAACACAGTTATTTTCCAAACATACTAACCCCTCGCTGTAAAATATCTATAGTTTCCTGAAAATCATACTATGTATAGGTATGAAATCAAATGCATGCCAACAATAAAATCCAGAAATCTGTAATAATATACGCTTTAGTGTTACAATCTCGTAAAGACTAGTGCTAGTCACTGTCACATACGAGTCAGAATTGCCTATTGCAATCTGTATGACATGACTAGCACCTACTTAGATTCAAAGCGAGCGTGTAGTGCTGATGTGAATAACATGTGAAAGACTAGCCTGACCCTAGGCTGAGCACTAATACCTAGGTGTAGCAATGATGAGCGGACTACATGAATATATATATATATATATATATGCATGCCATAATGATTCAATGATTCAATGATTTCAATCAACAATATAAACTTACCTGAACTTACTTGCGCATCCCGTAGGATTATTTTAGCATCTCACAACAGTACAACATTTATGAGCAGGTAAAATGCATATGAATATGCCATGACAATATATAAATCTTAACCACACAACAGTATTTTTTTAGAATTAAATAAATCATGGCAATATATGTATAAACCAATTTAAAAGCATTTGTGGAAACTATACAATATATATATATATATATATATATGAAAACAAAATGCCCACTCACAAAACATGACATCGGGTCAAACCGGCCTCGCCGCTTCAAGGATCCTTGCAATGTGTTTCACCTAGAAATGAAACCATTATGTAATTATGAATAACGTATTAACATATAAACGAGTTCTTCGTACAAAATTCGGCTAATAAAGAAACTATTTTAAAATGGTCGAACTTCGAAAAAAAGAGGGCGGATTCGGGTCCGGCACGTTGAAAAACCTAAGGAGGGACATCGGGTTCCTCCATGCACCCACGCGCACCTCGCATGCCTTCATCGTGAGTTTTCCAGATTTTTTTTCTTCATGTTTTTCCCCTAAATTTAGGAGCTCATTTCAAGCTCACTTTTCAACCAAATTCAATGATTCAAAAGCCAACTAGAAGCTAGAAATTTGGGGAACATGTGGTACCAGTTTGAAGTCGAATAGTGGCCGCAGTTGGCCGGGGAAATGGTCTTAAAGTGGCCAAATGGCCACGGGTCCAAGTTTTCCAGAATCCGGAAAATTTCATCCCAAATTTCAGAGCTAATTTCTAGCTCGATTCTCAATCAAATTCGAGGATTCAAGAACCATATTAAAGCTAGAAATATAGAGAACAAGTTCATACCAAATTATAGCCGATTTTATGTCGTTGTTGGCCGGAAAAATAGCCTAAAGATGGTCAAACGGTCACGGCCAAATTTTCCAGAAATCTGGAAATTTCTTCCCAACTTTCATAACTAATTTCTAGTTCGATACTTAACCAAACTTGATGATTCGAAAACAATTTTGAATTTAGAAATGTAGAGAAGATATTCATTTCTTAGAAGGCCCAATAGAGATCGGAGTTGGCCGGAAAATTTGCTGGAAAATAGCCAAACAACCAAGATTGGAAATTTCCAGAATGAACAGTGACCTTCCTTTGTATTTTCCGAGGTCCTACGCCATCAAAACCACCCAAAAACTTACCAATCATGAACCTAGACATGATCTACAATGATAGAGACCAATTTCAAGGCTTACCTTGGCCGGAAATGGTCAGAATTCACCGGAGAATAGTGATGCACAGTGATGGTACTGTGCAGCGCGGGGAGGTAGTTTTCAAGGTACTTTTCTCCTATTTCTAGGTCCAATGGCTCACAAGGATTACAAGGGATGATGGTGGGGGGGGGTCGCCTTGCTGTGGTTGCAGGTGTAGAGGTGTGGGTGTGTGTGTGTCTCGGCAAAAGAGGAGGTGAAGGAGTAAAGGTGAGTGAGAGTGAAAGAAGACGATGAAAATAGAGAGTGAGAAAGAATTATCACGGGACAGAAAAGGACCCCCAAGAAAAATGGGAAATCTTGCCACGTGTTAGAGAAAGTGTGGTAAAAAAATGTAGAAATATCTTTAATGTGGAAATTACCCAAAATGCTCCTATCGTTCCGAATTCCGTAAAATCTTCGTTTTAGCTTCAAATTCAATTCCGTTTGCGCTCACGCGTTTGTATCATTGAGAACTACGCAAATACACTAAAAGAATGAGTCATATGTCCCTCTAACCGATGGTCAACGGAAATCAAAATCCTTACCTCTAGGAGCATTTTCATCAAATCACTCATTTAAAATTAATAAAATTATAAAATTAAAAACGGGTTGTCACATTTAATGAAATTGATTTTGAGTTCCTTGTACTTAAAACCTTCTCCTCTTTAACAAGAAAACAATAGCTCTTCCAATCAATAGGACTTGGGACAACAATGAACCAAGAGCTTGCAATAGCAGTGGCTTAGGCTTTATATGGTATTCCCTTAACTATTCCCTATTAGAATCAGTCTAGGAATTAAACCATATTAAGCACAATGAATCATGAGTCTATAAGAGTTCCAGCACTAAGTTTCAATCCCAAAAGGTTTGAACAACTCTCAATTCTATTATCCCAAAACACTTACGATAACTTACAGCTTTTAATCAGAACTTTTCCATATCATTATTAGCTCTATTATATGATTGATACTCATATCTTACATTCTTCACTTGGCAATAAAACTGGTGACAAATTAGTGTTTTTGACACCATTAGTGAGCAATCCCGGTGAGGAGGCTATGTGATCCATCGCACCGATATCGATAATCCATCGATGGAGGTGCAAAGGATTTTTGACAAACCTTTGGTAGTTGTGGCAGCATAATGTTGAGAATTTGTTGAAATTGAGAATCAGGATTGCATTTTCTGCATAGGGGGCCCTTCATTAGAAACTTGATTTGTTGACGAAGAGTCGTAGTCTCGATTGGATTGATTGCCACCACGTTGATTGGATTTGTTGTCAGATGGATACCCATGCAATTTGTATCAAGTGTTAATGGTGTGGTAGTCTTGATCGCAATGCGTACAATGAAGGGGTTAGCGAGTAGAAGAACCTGATGTGAATCCTGGCCCTAAAGGACTGCCATGGTCGCTGTTTCAGTGGTGGTCCGGGGAATGCTCAAAGAACACTGTCTCTCCTCGTATGAGATCGAGAGGTAAGCCTAACGTACACTAAGTAAGGGATTAGATTACACTATATAAATCGTCGAGTCCCATAAGGAATTGCAATCTTCTTGAATCACTGGTTTTCTCATTTTGGGCACCACACGTGCAGGAGGATGAATCACTGTAAGACGATAACTCATCCACAGACTCTTTTCTATTTGGTATAGTAAGCGACAACAGAGAGTTGATCTTGAGAAAGAAACAATTTTTGGTTGCAACTGAAAAATCCGAGGGGCATTGCTTTGAGAATACCGCCGTTGCTATTCTTCCCAAATTGCATGAGCACTAGTCATGTAGAGAATACTGTCTGAAATATCATAATCAATTGAATTGATGATCCAGGCAGCAATCATGCCGTTGCATCTCTTCCTTGTAGCATGGTTGTCGGACTTGGTTTCGGCGGAGGGTTTGTAACAGTGCCATCAACAAGACCACGTTTGTTTTGCTCGGGGCCAGGTTTAATAGTTGTCCACATAAAGGGGCTTCTAGACCAACACCACGATTGTTGAAATTTTTTAGATAAATGGGCTCGGAGGATTCCATTCTAACGATATCGATACTGTTTTCAACCTTACCACCTGCCTGATCCTTTAAGTGTAGAGTTTTACCACAAAAAACCTCGGTATTAGTTAGAGTAGGTTAATTATATTTAAACCCATTGGTTTTCTTTCCCCCCATCGATGTGGGACTGCCAACACATCCCCTCACCTGTAACCACATTTAGTGGTTCACATATGAAGATACACACATTAGCAATTAAAACTCAGAGGTCAGTTCCAATGGAGTCCAAACTTGTTTTCGACTTGTTTTCAATCTTTTCAGAAAGTGTCTCTTAAGAACTCAAAGACATGCTCTATGTTAAAAATCCAAACTTGTTTCCAAGCCCACACTTCCTGATGACAAGTTTTTGGCTTGCATGGGCCCGTAACCGTGGACTCTGATACATGTTGAAATTTTAGTTTGTTTCCAAGCCCACACTTCCTGGTGACAACCCCACTCTAACGACCATATGCCCAATCCGTCATGTGTGAGATTTTATCTCAAAAAATCTCGATATTAGTTAGAGTAGGGTAATCATATTTAAACTCATTGATTTTCTTTTCCTCCACCGATGCCGGATTGCCAACAAACGATGGGGTGGTCTGAATGACGAAAAACAATGGATTGGAAGCATCAGCTTGGCATCAGGCTTGCTTTCGCTCGAAGTCTGAATCCTTAACCATGGCTAAGGTGGACGACATAAAAAAAAAAAAAAAAAAAAAGAAGAAAACTCGCTGCTTGTGTCTTAGACAGGAGGCAAAGGGAAACAGCGGCAGAAAAAGAACTAGTGTTTTAACCTAGCTCTGGATACCATGTAACAATTATATTTGGCCAAATGATTTCTTTCCATCCGATACAAAGACCACACAGTCACTATGTTGATAAGAAATAATACAAATCAGTTACAAACTTTGTTTCCTATTCTAAGCCACCATATCAGGAATCTTCATATCATTGACTTCTTAACACAAATGACTGAAGTACAGTAGTCCGTTGTCCTTACAACCGATTTTGTCCCCTCTCTAGGGTAGTACCACATAGGCTGGCATTTTGAACCCGATCTGTTAAAACTAGTATTTGGATGGGTGTTTAACGGGTTAGGTTGTTAACGGGTCAATTCGTCAGTCACCGGTTAAATAACAGGTCATTTTGGGTCAACCTGTGAAACCCGTTAGCACCCATTAACACCCATTAGGGAGGACTTTTGTGTAATTTCATAGTTGGAATAGAAAACCTAGCTCTCTGTCTGTTCGCTCACGTTCAAACCCGGCCTGCACGTTCCTCTCCGGGGCTGCTGTTTATTGAGTTCTGCCACCCTCTCTCCGGTAAGTTCCGATTCCCTTTCACCTCTTCTTCCATTGCGATTACTTTTTTGTTTCTGCAGATTATATTTTCGACTATTTTTCTCAGTTTTTTATTAGAATTGAGAGCTACTTTTTCTTCCATGACGAAGAAGCCGCCTCAGCGGCGGTGAAGGAGCTGAGATCGTCCTTCGTCTCGGCCTCTCGGGAATTAGGTTTTGATTAGAATTTGGAGAAAAGTTTTAGGTCTTGGATTTTTTTGTTGGCTCCTGAATTTTTTGGTGTGCACATGCTGATCGATTGATGCACGTCTCACCAACTCTCTCTCTTTCAATAATTCATATCTATATGCTAAATCATGAATTGGGTTGTGATCAGAATTTGCTGATTGATGTAGTTCAATACAAAACTCTATTGTATGCTCATTGCTTACTCAGTTGTTTTGTTACATCATTGCTCACTCAGTTGTTTCATCAAATCACTCCATGACTTGCATATGCACACAAACCGAATGAAAAAAGGAGGTGGCTAGCACAAGCAATAGGATGCTAAGATTTCTTTCTTACACAGTGTAAAAAAAACAAAAAAAAGGGTTAACGGGTTGAAACGGATGACCCGTTAACTTAACAGGTTGGATTCAGATGATCTATTAACTTAACGGGTTGGACCCAAACCCAATAACTCGACCCGTTTACAGGTCTAGTACCACTGTGCAGCAGGAATGATGACGTCCGGTCTTTAGGATTCGACAGCCCACTTTTATATTATCGTGCACTCCCAATGTCTAGTCGAGTCACCAAGCTTGAGGAACTCAATACAGACCAATATTCAGTAAGGAGATTATATGGAGATGAGAGAAGAAGGTAATGGAATCACTCTCGAAGGGTGAATTACTCTCTTTATATATAAATGAGTCCCTCCTCACTATAGCACCATTATATGATAATATAGTGATTTTAATAGGACATAATATCGTACCAAAGGATAATAGCAACGGTATTGTAACATATGACTATTGAACAAATGAATATGCTTATGTATGACGACATAAACAGAATGAAGATAGAATTAAATAAACTCGGCTCAATGGATTTTTTTCAGTCCCTACTTTCGAAAATGGGGTTCTCTCTTGGGAGAAAAGTCCTGTTGAGTAGGGGCTTGAATCAAATTCCAACAACATGCAGTAGAAAAGCTGCCGCATGAAGCCACCAACATATTCTTCGATACAAAAAGATTATGCTATGCTAGGTGTGACATTCTATTGAACTATTTTATGCAACACTAAGAGTCTAAGAAAATGACGGTGCCAACAAAAAGAGATATTAAACACCCAAAAAAAAAAAAAAACTTCTGTTCATTACAATAATATTACATGCAGTAGAGAAACAGCAAGAAACGAAAGGAAGACAACAAATTAACAGTAAGGTAGGTGCCTTTTAGATCAAAAGGGATCTTGACGACCACAGTAGGCTTCGATAGGACTCTTAAATTTGTGTGTCTCCACATTTTGAGTGAAACGGAGGTAATCGAAATGACCAAATGGCTTATATCTGAAGGGGTGTTTGTCTACAACAAACTCTTCAGGTACTTGCACAATTCCATCACTTTTATATGAGAATAATGCCAGTCAATATCTTGTTTTGTTCTCTTTGATATGACTTGATGCCCACACAAGGTTATTCCGTCGTTACTTCATGCCTGCAAAATGAAAATAGAAAAATAAAACAAACAAAAGGTGAGTTAAGTTACCTACTGCAGTTTGTGTTCATCCTCTTACACCCGAGTTTGAATTTACGTTTCTGTAAATTAAACGAGTGTATAATTTTTCTTTGTAAAAGAAAAACATGCAATATAACAATCTAAGCTGGAATGACATGAAAT